AATCTAAAAAGTAAACTTGCGTCTCCCTATCAACTACTGAAGTAGAGAACATAGCCGTTGCCTCTTGTACTTCACAAGTTATCTGAATTCAAAGTCAGCTTCGTGACTATGGCATCAATATGAAGCAAATTCCCCGGTATTGGAATCCTAAAAGCTCCATTTGCATATGTCACAAACTGGTGCAACATTCAAAGACCAAACACATTGCATTGAGGTATCACTTCATCAAAGATCATGTGGAAGATGTTAGATCCACTGATTAGCTGGCCAACATCTTCAAAAAAGCCTTTCCTGAACAAACCTTTAATCGCATTCTTCAAGGCTTAGGAATGATAGAGGCCAAATCTAATCCAAAACCACATTTGCACTCATAAGATTTTGATAGGCCTACAAATTGGTGCGTACGTACGCAGTGACTCGCAGTCCACTGTTCACACTACAAATTAGTGTGAATGTTCATAGTGATTCGCAGTCTACTATTCATTCGTGGTTCAGAACTTCATGTGTCCTTTGTACATTTTCTTTATTGCTATTTAATTATTTCTGTTTTTATTTCCTTTTCAGAATATTGAAAATCCAAAAATATTTTATTTCTGTTTTTATTTCTTTTTCAGAAAATCGAAAATCCAAAAATATTTTATTTCTTTTTGTTTTTATTTCTTTTCAGAAAAACAAAAATACAAAAATATTTTGTTTATTTTCATTACTTATTTCTTTTCATAAAATATTTAAAAAATATACCAAAAATATTAGATAATTGAGCAGGTTTGAAGGCACATATCTTGGTGATCTCAATTATGAATGATGGGGCAAGTATAAATTTCCTAATCTATGCATTAGTTAAGTGTCCCTAGAAGCATGTTGTTGCATGTAGTCCAAAGCCTCACAAACTCTATGTTAAAGCCTTAATGAATCGATAACACCAATTATTTCTTCCCAATGAGGCTGTTCGTTCACATAAGTCATAAGCTACCTTACTCTTCTCATATTGAGTTAAGAGTTGACTGCTTGGTCACTTTCGCATAGCAGAGGTACATTATTTCTTTGGAACCACCTCCCACTACTTCTCCATCACTTTCACATTCATGAACATAACCCTTGAGACTCTCAGAAATTACCACTGAGGTTTATGGTTACATAACATCTGTGTTTATGATCTTAAATTCGTTATCACTAGTAATTGAGTGAAACCCAAAATACAACACATAATTGATGATGAACAATTTAAATGTTCTAGCTTATTCACCAAGGAATTAACGAATGACCACCTTCGTGGTTTGTACCCTGAAATCTCTTTTTCTTTTTGTGCAATCTTAATGAAATGTTCTAGTCCTAAGTCATTTCATCCGAGTAGATCCAGTTTTTATTGTTTCATGAGATTTCTATACTTATCCAAGTCACTTAAAATAATTCCAAAGCATACTTGTTGTTATGACTACACTGGTCAGACAAGTACTTCATCCAAACGTTCAGACTTATGTGAAGTTTCATAGTTTGGTTGAAGATGAAGCCACCCTTTAAGATTAATGAGAAGAATCCTTTCACTATTTCTCAACAAAACAGATGATCATAATTCAACGGGACACCATACAAGCACTTCAAAGTCTCTCTTGACTACGAAGGAAGAGATCATTGCATGGGATCTATCTGTTTTATGTCATAACAGACATCACTAGAATCCGATATAATAATTTTGATTTATTTCTTTATCTTTGGCACACTCTCGCACGAATGTCCTTGTGATTATCCAAAGTCTGGTTCATGGTACTCATGATTACATTCAGTTTCGTAGAACAATTAATGGCGATTTAATTATGAAAGGGTGTAACTGAATCAGTTGCAAAAGGTTGTAACTAAACTGACATATTAAAAGGATAAGATTTGGGCATGTGAAAATTTTACACTAACACTGATGTCACGTCGCTTGACACATGTTACCCCATGCCATAATTGTCACTCACGCTTTTTAAGGCGACTTTTCTATGCTTTGATGCAACCAACATCCAGATTATCTCTCCTATCAAATGGTATAAAGGGTTTTACGATTAATTATTCATTATCACTTTCAAAAGAAATAAAAATACTCCTAGTGATTATTCTCTCTACTTTTCATCTCCTTCTCCACTAAGCATCCATGGCAGCATCCTCAGAAACCCCTTTCCGTCGCAGACCAAATGGCTCAATACTCACTTCTCAACATCAAGGCTAACCAGAATCTCATTATGGACCTTGATCTTGCCAATTATGATGGTTTTCTTCAACCTCTCACTGAGTGTCTCCGCTATTCCCCACTGGTCATCGCATTAACAAAATCAGAAATCATACCCTTGGTTCATCTATCCAAGGCATATTCGACTACAAACTATCAACAAGGGGAAAAACATATCGCTTTTGAAGTCGAAAACAAGAAAACACGCATCACCATGTTGCAGTTATGTAGCATACTAGGGATTCAATAGGGGTGTGATCTAGTTGACCCATAATCCATCTCAAACTATGCAATCTTGGAGATGTTTTTCCACATGGGATACAGGGAGGTTTTAATCGCCATTTATAAGTTCAAGAAGCCAAATCTGCCACCAATGTGGAATGGTCTTTTTTACCCATCTCTTCAAAAGATTCTTTGAGAGGGTAACCGACTCAGAGTGTGCAAGCAAACTGTTCATGAACATCATGTACGGTGTCTACTCTGGTGTGAACCTCGACTATGGTTTAGTGCTTTGGGCTCAACTAGTCCAGAGTACTCTTTCGACTACACGACAATGAGATTTCCTGTGCTTATTTTTGGACTCTCGTGGTTCAAAGGCTATTTATCGGCTCAACATCCCAATTATTGATGGTTCCACTATGGCCGCTATTTCGATTTTCCACTCCACCAACATCATCTTGGTTGATACTTTAAGATTCACATTCATTGGCTCCATCCCTAAGGTGATTCTGTTGGATAAGGTGTCTAAGTCCATAACTATTTCTGGTATGTACTTGACCCGACCCGGCATGGTCCATTTGGGTTGCATGGCACCATGCAATTGGATAGACTAAATGAGAGAAATAACACTTGGAGATTATTAATATATTATAAGTTCTAATATATTAATAATATTATTTGATTAGTTTGATCAAGAATTAATTTAGAATTAATTATGTGATCAAAAGATAACTAATTAAATATATGGGTTGATTATGTAAATCATCCATATCTTGTATAGTGGGCTAAAAGGCTCCATGGACTATCAAGTTGGGTTCCACCCATAGGATGCTCCATGGATGCTCCATGGGAGTTACAAACCCATGGGTCATGGAAATGAAGAGTCATGACACATTAGGGTTTAACCCTAGATGTGTCAACACTATATAAGTAACATGTTCTCCACCCAAAATCGGCTACACTAAGAAACAAGAGGGCTTGGCCGATTTTGAGAAGTGTGTGTTCTTTCATAAGTTCTTCCAAGAGCATTTGGTGTTGTGTGAAGCATTTGAGGCATCACACTTGGGGTGCTAGGCTCACAAGGTTTCAAGGAACACAAACAACAACAAGGTAAGTTATTCTATCTATACTTTATGTTAAAATTGTTCCCCATGTATGCTAGATAGGAATATAACCTTGGAATTCAACTTTGCATGACAATTAGACAAACATAGATCCAAGGTTATTAGGGTTGCATGTACACTTAGGAAGTGTTAGAATGCTCAAAACCCTTCAGATTCTTCGTAATGTTCCTGCAGTGAGTGAAGTCGTGCGAACCTATCACAGTCTACCGACATCCGATCTTCGACCAATGACATATGTAGTTCCCAAAGTTCTCAAGGAGGCCAACAAACCAAAGAAGGGTGGAAAGAAAAGAACTGCATAGGCTAGTCCATCCGAAACTGCCCAGACCCTAAAAAAGAAGGTCAAGCAAGCGGATCACAATCCATGAACTCCAAAGCCGAGTGATCAAGAAGATTTGAAGTCATATACCATCTCGTAGATTCCAGATATAGTTTAGCATGAAACAGATGAAACTGCTGAGACTTCGCATCCGATGGTTTCAGAGCCTATCACTTCTAATCTTGAGGTAACATTCTCGATGTCGACTTTTGTTCTGATCACAAATGATTTATTCTAGGATTTCTCCGTTCCTTCACCCACCTCTACTGTCTCAACTCCAATCACTATAACTTATTGCCTAAATGTCTCTATGGGTGTTTCTTGACCCAAACTTCTCTCGCACAATCAACACCTTTGTTCCCTGATTCCACAGCTACAACAACCACAACCACTAGTGAACCTACAATTTCTGTTAACGCATCAGATACGGGGGTAGGTGCTTCAAGTTTCACTTTTGGTCATGGAACTACACCTATCTCACCTCTCCGACAGGACGATCCAAATACTATGTTTGGAGGTGATGGCGATTTTGAAGCTTTCACATTTGATCCTTTTACAGTTCGAGAAGACAGTGATGATGATGCTCTCGTCACCAAAGGGCAACTCAAGGCAATCAATGAAAAGCTAGATTCACTTCTTTAGTCCTCCAAAACCTCCACCAGCAGTGATTATTCTCCGGAGACAATTAAAGCTTTTCTTGAGACCCTTAGTAAGGAGCACATTACGAATCTCGAGAAAACAAATAAAGCAGTTGAAGAATCTACCACTACTTGCAAGGAAACGACCGAAAAAGTCGATACACTAATCTCTGATGCTCAATCTTTTATGTCCAACTTCCAAACATCGTTGAATCAAACACTGCAAAGGAGAATGCAGTTATCGGTAGTCTTGGGTCTACCCTTCGAACTGAGAGGGCTGCTCTTGAGCAAGTTCGCACCAGCATTCAGTCAACCAATTCAGAGTTTCAAACCCTCCTCTCTTCCAAGATAGATAAACTCCATGAAGACTTGGCTATGGAAAATAAAATCATGGACAAGCTTGCCATCAAAACAGAGAGGTGAAGGTTTTATCTGTCAAGCTCAACCATGCTAACAAGCGTATTGAAGATCTCTTATCTGAAAAGGCTGTGATGAATAGTTGCATATCCGATGTGAATTTGTTACTTTTAGATATAATTGAGACTCGTGATTCTCTAATCACGATCACTATCCAAAAGCATTTGGATGAAAAACTTTGGCCCATGTTTGCAATGCTGAACAAGCTTGAGGGTGTTTCAGAGTCAGTCATACCTCCAAAACAAAGGGGAGAATAAGGCAAATCTTCTGGTGCTGAAAAGCTATTTGGTGGTGATAAGGAAACTGAACAACCGCCCAAGACAAATGAAATGAAGGTTAATGTAGCTTTGGGTTTGAAAGGAAAAAAGAAAGTGATAGATGATGATGAAGAGGAAGAAGAGGACAAAAATGTGAAGCTTAAGTGGAAAGCACAAGATGTTGTTCTTGATGAAAATCTGTGAATTGCAAGGGAAGCAGAAGAAAATGAAAAAAAGCTTCGTGATGCTCAAATCACTCTTGAAGCTAGAAAGATGTTATTTCCTCCTTGGTTTATGGAGAGAATTTTAACAGAAGCCACTGAAAATCTGAGCATTCACAAGTTAGAGCTAGTTACTTATTTTGAGCTAGAAAACACCATGGATTTGCAACTGGATTTCCCCATCACCCCGGAAGCATTTTTGTTTCATAGATTTGAGGTAGTTGCAAATGTTGTAGATTCAGATGAGGGTGTTATGTAACGCCCGGGTTTTCAGGGCTAAGCATTTTTGTCAATGTAATAGTCTAGGTCAACTATTGTAACTCTTTTTGAAGTAATAAATATGAAATATTTGAGTATTATGTGAATTATGTGTGTTTATGTGTTTATTATTTAATTATAAATGTATAATTAATAAAGAATAAAAATGAGCGTCAAAATTAAAGTGTGAGATAATCCCGATATCTCTACATAAAGTTGTAGAATATGTCTCAAGGTTTCCGTGCATATGAAGAATGCCGAAATCCGAGCTATAAAGAAGAAGTTATGGCCCGCCGAAGTTTTACGACAAAACCGGCACGATACCGGGAGACGTAAATAGTGAATTTACGATAGAAGACTTTTTAGCCTTAGCAATCTAAACAAAAGTCGTAGAATATGTTAAACTAAGAACATCGATAAAAAGAACGCCCAAATCTGACTTCGTATGAAGAAGTTATGATTTTTCTAAGATTCGGCTTAGCAGTGCACGGCCTGAAACTCGAATTTTAGTTCGAGCGGTTTTTGGCTTACGCAACGTAAATGAGAGTTGAAGATCTCATTAATAGGAAATCAACGGTAAAAAGACAGACAAAAACAAAGTCCGTATGCAGAAGTTATTAATTTTACGCAGACGTTTAACAGTATAATCTCCTTGTACTGTTAAATTTAAGATCGGTCGAGAATTAGCTGACGGTGTCAAAATAAAAGTTGTAGATCTTATTATTACCTACGCGTGGATATAAAGAACGTCAAAAACGGAGGTCGTATGTGAAAGTTACGGATTTTAGAAGTCGGAAGTGTGCTGTGCGAAAATGGGTGATGTGGCACAATCTTGGCCATTGCTTTCTCCCCAAGGCTTGCCACCAGATGGTGACATGTGGCACCAAGTTCAGCCACATTTCACCCTATAAATACCACCTCTCCCACCCTCATTTTCTTCACACCTTTCCCATTCTTTCTTCTCTTTACTCTCTCTCTCTCTAGAACCTCTCTCTAGCCCCGAAATCCCTCGAAAAGCCTAGGGAACCTCCCTAGCACGAGGCGGAAGCCCCGGAGTGCTTGAAGGCTCCGAGAAGAATAGCTTTTCGGCTCGGGAACGCTGCTCCAAGCAAAGCCCGGTTTTCTATAAAACCCGCTGTAAGTGAGCTACGCCTACGCTATTTTTAATATAACTTTTATTTAATTATAGTAACGTTATTAGGAACTTATAATAAATACTTGGGCTATTATTATGTGTTATATAAGTATTTTTTTGATGCTTATATAATAATAATAATAATAATAGCTAGACTATTAATTAGTCTCGACGAATAATAAACTAAACTCTAGTGGTAATAATACTAGGTTTCGTCGAAGAAAAAAAAATTCTTTTTAAGAAGCGAAGCGCTGTCTGAGTTCGGAATCACCACCTTTTCCGGTGAGTGCATAGTTACCTTCAACTTACACATAGATATGAAGTATTTTATATAAATTACGTGCTATGTGTGCATATTATCTGAATACTTGCTACCTATGCTAGATGAACGTTGTTATACATGTTTTCAATGATTTAAACTGTATATGTATTTTATATCTACGAAAATATTGGGGTAAAACATGGGTAGATGTAATAGGTGATGTGTGATAAAATGATGAGAGGCCTCGATGTTGTTGTTGTTGATCCAGTCATCTAGCGGAGTATAGATGACGACCACGGACTCTTCTAGACAGTCCAGTGGAACACTAGCAGGTTCGCAACCTGTAGGTGTTGTGAACGATGTGTTCACCGGTGTACTCCATCCCCCACATGGTTGCCTATTAGGACATTTATTGCTGAGGAATCCCCTTAGCAGTAGTGTCCGTCCCGATGATGATCCTTAGGCTAGGTCCCTTATGATAGGTGTTTAGGGACGTAAAGTGAGGATAACGGGAACGGGTAATCGGGTTATTGTTGATTGATGAAATTAATAAACTTATTGTGGGTTGAAAACCCTATGTGCTCACCAGGCTCCCAAGCCTGACCCACTCAGTTTTATGCATTACAGGTAGTGGCGCATGAGCATAGGTGTGATGTTTTGGACGAGGGATTACGGATATAGGCCTGTAGATATGAAATAATGTAGTAAGGCTTATATTGTACTGTTTATACTTTTGATCTGTACGAACATGACATCCCGAGTCTTTTAATGAAATACATTTCTATGGAAATGCTTTTGATAAATCTTTATCATATTATTGTTTTGGGACAAATTCCGCAACCCTTTTATTAAAAGATAACTCTGATTTTGAAATAAAGTATAAACAAAACCGGTCTTTTCTGGCCGTGATTTTGGGGATGTCACATGTTAACAAGTCCTTGATTGGATTTTACATGAAACATGGCTAGCCGCAATACCAGACCTGGAGTTCACAGAAAATAACTGCTGTCAAGGTTATTAGGCCAATACAAACTAAAAGTTTTATCAACGTCAAATTTAAAACAACTCGAGGTTCTACGAATTCTATGTTTGAATTCTCTCTCACAGACCTACCATGTTTAAATCCATACAAATGGATCATGCTGATGCACCTCTTGATGAAAGAAGAAAAGAAGTATGAACCTATTATTGATCATATCAATAGGATGCTAGTTTCGTACATCCACGATGTAGCAAAGATGGATGTTGAAATAGCCTCGGTGTTACGAAAGAAACCAACAATCCTTCCTAACGCTTATGCGAAAGACATTGAGAAAATGAAGCTCAAGAGAATTGAAAAGGACAACTAGAGCGTGATGTTCTAGCAGGGATCGAAAGAAAGAGGAGACATCCAAAAATGTCTTTTTTCTTTGCCTGATAAACATTTATTTTCCACTACTTGCTTGAACTGCATTCTGGAAACTACAGGCAATTGCAAAGTGAATGATGTTGTTGCGAAGAAGTGCTATTCAGATATGCTCAGATGGTATATAGCAATTCTCATTACTCTCCTTAGTATTATGCCCAAGCTCTTCAAGATGCAGAAACAAACACAACCATGAAGAGATCCCTGCCTCATTTGACGCAAAGGGGGAGATTGTTGGGTCATAGGGATTGCATCAATTGTTTTATTATATAGCGGGGTGAGCCTGTTCACCCATTTATTTATTATTAGCGTTTTACTATTTAAAGTGCACGCATGCACCATATCTTGTAATCGTCTAAGTTGTAAACCCTACACAACCTTTAGAGTAATAGTTCTTCATCGAGCTCTTCGAAGGCTATGCTTATTAATCATTCGACACAACTTTGATCTTCTTTTTGTGTTTTGATTCTTTTACTTGTTTGAATCTAATCGATCATTCTAGTTTTATTCTTAACAGAGACCACAGAAACCAACACCCCATGACGTGCCACAACCTCCCGAATGTAGATGTCTGTCAACTTCTCCACAGAGATAGTCTCTTGGATCGGGATAAAATGTGCACTCTTGGTCAACCAATCCACAATGACCTATATCAAATCCACTCCGCATGCCGTCTGAGGCAATTTAGTGATAAAATTCATTGTAATCTCTTCCCATTTCCAAATGGGAATATCCAACAACTCCATTTTTTCATGGGGTCGCTGGTGATTGACCTTAAATTTCCTACAAGTCAAGAACCTCTCCACACACCATGCCACATCCTGCTTAATACATGGCCACCAATAATCAGGTCGAAGATCTCTATACATCTTTGTGGCTCTGTGATGAATAGACAATATCGACTTTTGTGCTTCTTCCATCAAAATATGTCGCACACCACCCTAGTACAAAACCCACACCCTTTTATGAAGGGTCAATAACCTCCGACTATCATAATCGAAGGAAGCTACATATCCCATGATACGCTCACTCCTTTGGTGCTCTTCCTTCATAGCCTCAATCTGAGCCTCTCGAATCTGCTCTAATACTGGGGTAATCACTGTCCTCCTCAAACATAAACCCTTGACCAGAGCCACGACTTCCTTGCAGCTGAGAGCATCAGCCATGACGTTGGCCTTCCCCCGAGTGATAAAGGATCTCACAATCATAATCCTTCACCACATATAACCTTCTACGTTGCCTCATGTTCAGATTTGGCTAATCCATCAATTACCTCAGGCTCTTTTGATCTATGTAAATAGTACAATAGACCCCCTAGGGGTAATGTCACCAAATCTTGTGGGCAAACACCATTTATTCCCAACTCCAAATCATATTTAGGGTAACTCGCCTCACGAGGATTTGGCTGCCTCGATGCTAACGTAATCACATGATCCCATTGCATTAAGACTGCATCTAAACCTGTTATCGAAGCATCCCAATATACCACGAAGTCCTCAACATCACCTGGAAGGTTCAAAATCGGTTCCTTACACAATTTATATCTCAAGGTATCAAAAGTTGCCTGCTACTCTGGCCCCTAACAAAATTTGACAGTCTTCATTGTCCGCCTGGTCAAGGGAGCCACTTTCTTGGAGAAATCCTAAATAAATCTTTGATAATAACCTGTCAATATGAGGAAACTCCGAATTTCAGATAGAGACCTCGGAACTTCTCATCTCATCACCAGAATGCCACTCTCGTTGACAAGGCGCCCTAAAAACTGTACCTCCCACAACTAGAACTCACACTTGGAGAACTTCGCATACGATCTCTCCCTCCTTAGAGTATCTAATACCTCCCTTAGATGCTCCTCATGCTACTCCTAGGTTTTGGAATAGACCAGGATGTCATCAATAAACACTATCACCTATCGATCTAACGTGGGTCTGCATATACGATTCATGAGATCCATGAATGTGGCTGGAGCATTGGTGAACTTAAAAAACATCACCACAAAGACTACAACGAGTCTGAAAGGACGTCTTCTGTATATCCTCTCCTCTGACCTTCATCTGGTGATAATCCGAATCGGTAATGGTTCTTCACTGTTAGCTTATTCAGCTCCCGGTAGTCAATACACATCTGATGTGTCCCAACCTTTTTTATTTATAAATAAGATTGGTGCTCCCCACAGTGAACTACTTGGCCGAGTAAATT